TGCATTCTGAATAATCTCTCTCTAGTGAGATTATACATAGTTGTTCAAATATATCATATATTTTTTTATAGACATAATATCTACACCCACTGCCTAACCATCTTTGTACAGCTTTCAGGTAGCTGACTTTCGAATTCAGAATTGTCCTTCTCTTAGATTGGTTGTCAATCACAGATAGAGGGCCCAGTTTACCCTGCTAGTTAATGCCCATAGTTGGGAGAAGAGATAGATTCATACTTTTTTCCAAAGGTATTTGTGCAAAAATGAATATCGCAAACTTAATTGGAGTTTGAACATAGTTTGGTGATTTTTCATTCTGATCCACTAACCATTTCTCCACCTGCATATCCATTATACTAACAGCTTGATATTATATCAGAAGAAATCAATTAATATCACATAAAATGAATGTGAATTTATATATTTGATACCAGAAGAAATCACCTAATATCATATTGTTATGATGTTGATTTGGGGTTAGTAGAGACAAACGCCAAATAACACGTAACAATAAAAAGGGTTTTAATAGGTTGGTAAAAAGGTACAGAAATCGCCTGAGTCGTCAATAACTAGCTCAGCAAAGAACTTCTCGGTCTATCTGTTTTCCATGTCAACTGACATGCCACTATTTAAAGTCTTTGTTCGCAGACAAGTTCATCTTCAAGAGGGGTGGTAGGTTTCCGACACAACACCTCCCCCTTGAGATTAATTCCTCCGGAATTAATATCTTTTTCTTTTGGGATCTGGACTAAACCTTTCCACCCTAGATCTTTTTCTTTTGCTTGTCCTTCTTTGGACAACTGTTTCAGGCAATGGTGGAGTTGGTATATCGAATAAATCATAATACCTCCATTGGTTCTTCATTTTCTTTACTTATTTCTTCAATGATTCTTTTCCTTAATTGGTTCAAATGTCTTTTGTGCATCCATTTTTTACTTCTTATCATGTATAACATCTTACCAATTCTTTGAGTTACCACTCCATCTTGCCAAAATCCCTTCCCATTTTTGTAATTTTTAAAAAAAACTTTATCTCCCGGCCTGAGGTATTTCATATTTTCCTGATGTGTTTTGTTCTGGTAACTCTTTTTTTCTTTCCGGCAGTAGCCTATTGAATACAGATCTAATTTTTCTAGCAAACATCAGTTCCGCTGGAGACACCAGGATGCCCCTGATGAAATTCCTTCAAAATCCGCTTTTGTAGTACAACCGGTATCACCACCCTTCCAGCATATAACAACACTTCATCACATATTGAATATGCTGGTGAAGAAGTTTTATACTTTTCTGAAGTTACAACTTTTCATTTTTCTAATAAAAATGTCGTTTTCTGCTTTTAATTTTATTTCATCTAATGTCACCGGTAATTCTTTTACTGTGTTATACATTACTTCAACCAATTCATTTTCTGCTTGTAACGACGCTATCACCGTATCTTCTAGCGGTTCCGAAGACGTTGGGATCAGTCTAGATAAACCATCAGCATGGCTTAATTTTTTAGATGATAAAAATTCCATTTTGAAATTATAATTCAACAAAATGGTTCCCCATCGTTGCAAACGGTTTGCCGTATGAGTAGGTATACCCTTCTTGAACCATAGATTGAAAGCAGCGGGCGATGGTCGGTCTGCAATATAAACCTTCTTCCATGTATGTACTTATGGAATTTTTACAAGCATAGATGATAGCTAAGCTTTCTTTCTCAATTTGAGAGTACTTCTTTTCTGCGGGTAATAATGTCCTTGATGCATGTGCCACTGGCTTCGTATTGCCGTCTCTGAATTTATGCAGAATTACCGCACCTATTCCGTACTCGCTTGCGTCCGATGCCACTATAATTTCCTGTTTAGGGTCATAATGTGTTAGTGATAATTCCGACGTCAAAATATTCTTTATTTTGTCAAACGCCTTCTGACACACTTCTGACCATTCCCACTTTGCTCCCTTTTTAAGCAATTTATTTAATGGAGCCGTAAGGCTGCACAAATTAGGAATATATATCCCATAATAGTTAGCAAGTCCTAAGAACGCTTGTAGCGTTACTACTACATTTTGGGAGTTGGCATGCTTTTGATCGCTTCTGCTCTCGCCGGATCTGGTCTTCTTCCATCAGAGTCTATTATCTGCCCCAAAAACTTAATTTCACTTATAAAAAATTCACATTTTTCAGCTCCAAGTTTGAATCCATATTCTTCAATTTTTTCAAAAACCTGATTAATATGTTCCAAATGTTCATTTCGATCTTTACTTTTTATCAAAATATCATCAAGATATGCAATGGCGAAGTCCAACCCTGCCAGCACAGTGTCCATAATTTGCTGAAAAATATTAGGGGATACTTTTAAACCAAAAGGCAGACGGTTTAATTTGTATAAACCCTGTGTGTATTGATAGTCAACAATTTAGAACATTCTTCGTCCACTTTCACTTGGAGATAGGCATCCGATAAATCCAATTTAGAGAATATTTTCCTCCATTTAAACTTGCAAAAATGTCTTCTGGTGAAGGCAAAGGATATGTGTGTCTTTTAAGCAATCATTTAAACCCGTAGAGAAATCGGCACACATCCGAATTTTATTATTCTTTTTTTTAACATATACAAACTGGGCAGGCCCTCTGAAAATTCAATGCGTGAAATAACTCCCTAAATTTTCAAGCCGTTCCAATTCTTTGTTAATCTGTTCCAAAACACCAAATGGCACATTTCTTTTTTGCTTGAAAATAGGTTTTACATTTTCCTTCACTTCAAATTTTGCCTTCGTCTTTTTGCAACATCCAAGATCTTCTGAAAATACTTGTGGAAATTTTATTTTCAGATCTTTCACCAAATTTTCTGTAACCCGATTTTTACATGGAGAAGAAACATTAATTCTATTGCAAAAAGAATTTATAGGGAGTTTCCATAAATTAAAAAGTATAATCCAATCTGTTCCAAACAAATTTGAAGCATTTTGTAGCACATAAACTTTAGACTTTAGTGTCTTATCAACAAATGAAATATTACAAGAAAATTTACCTTGAAAATGCAATTTTCTTCCAGAAATCCCGCGAGCCACTTTTTCAGTTTTTTTAAGCAAAGATCTGCCCATTTTAATCCATGTTGTTGTATTAATAATGGAAATATCACTTCAGTATTTAGCTGTAGTTTAACATTTTTCCATTAATTTTTACCTGTACGAATTTTCTTTTCTGCCCTCCTCAATCTCCTGACGTGACAACACAATATTCACATCTTTTTCGACTTAAAGTTTTTTTTTTTGCTTTTACAATGAGTACTTATATGGCCTTTATTGCCACACGAATAGCAATTTTGTCGCGAAAAAAACATTCACTTTTAAAATGACCACCACCGCATCCAAAGCACGTTGGTTTTTTAACGTTTTTATTAACTATTCCCGTTTTTGGTCGAATAGCATGGACACGGGATACGTCTTTTTCTTCAATTTGCGTATTGTCATGTTTTAAGTTTTCAATTTTAACCTTCTGCAAAGTGATCTCGGAATTTTGTTCGAGTTTTGCCAATATTCGTGACCTTACGTCCTTCTTTGCTAGAAGTCAAGCCTTGAACGAATATCAAACATTTAAATCGATCAATTGAAAGATCATGTAACATAAAACGTTCACACATTCTGTTAACTTTTCCAGCATACGTAACAACATCCTCACCGTCACGCTTTACCATATTCAAACACGAGAAACGAATATGAAACAAACTAACTCGCTCGCCAAAAATACTAGATAAAGTATTAACAGTTTCTTCGAAAGAAATGTCACCAGTTTTTCTTGGAAGGACAAAATTCGTATACTTATTATTTTCATCTGTACCCAACTTTTGTAAAAGTAAACTCACTTTTTTTTCATCAGTCCAACCTTCACATTTTTTTTAAAATATTGTTTCAAATCTTCTGAAATACGCAGGAAATGTTATGCCCTCCTCTGGGTTAAATTTGAACTCAGTAATAGAATTAGCAATACCTTCGGCCGTGAATGACGAATTTACTGGATTCTTAAGTAAAATCGCTTCATATAAAGCCTTTTTTTGTGTCATTTCGCTGCTGAACTTGTAAATCCAATAGTTGTTCCCGAAACAATTTTTGTTGCTCTTGTTGCTGAATTTGACTTTGCACTAGAGTTTTCGTTAATGCAATCAAATCTTCCATTATGCGTAATAGATTACACAAAACACTTTTCGAAAACAGACAATAAGGGAAAAACACGTATATATCCACAATAAGCACAAGTCTTACTTCTTTTTGGCACGTTGAAATCCCATTTCTTCGTGAAGAACAAAGTTTGACGTATTTTGTTTTTTTTTCTTCAGAGCGAGAAAAAAAATTTATATAGTCCACCTAGAGTTGAAAAATTCTCCACTCAGCGTGATGAACGAATCTCTCGTCGCCACTGTTATGATGTTGATTTGGGGTTAGTAGAGACAAACGCCAAATAACACGTAAAAATAAAAAGGGTTTTAATAGGTTGGTAAAAAGGTACAGAAATCGCCTGAGTCGTCAATAACTAGCTCAGCAAAGAACTTCTCAGTCTATCTGTCTTCCATGTCAACTGACATGCCATTATTTAAAGTCTTTGTTCGCAGACAAGTTCATCTTCAAGAGGAGTGATAGGTTTCTGACACAACACATATGAATGTGAATTTATATATTTGATATTATATCAGAAATCCCTTAATATCACATATGAACATGAATTTATATATTTGAAATCAGAGTAAATCACTCAATATCATGATATAAACATAAATTTATATATTTGATATCAGAAGAAATCACTTAATATCACTTTTATCTTACCTAAGAGAAAACAAAATGAGTCTATAGGAAAAGCTGAAGGTTACTAAAATCAAAGAAATTCATAAATTATGTTGAGTCTACAGTTTTGTCTTGATGCAAGAAATCAACAAAGATTCTTTTTTTTATTTAATATATAAATAATTAAAAAATCTTAAAAGCAAAAGGTTTATTTAATCTCTGCATTTCTTGGCAGGTTGGTATGGTGTACCAGAAGGACTTGTATTTTCTTTCCCAGTCCAAATGTCCATTACAGGAAATTATAATGTGGTTGAAGATTTTGAACTGACACCTGAATTTGAACAACAACTGCAATCAATCATCAAGGTAAAAATCTTTTTATGATATTAACAGAATCAAAATCTGGTAGAAGCTCATTAAATGGGGTTTATACAGAAAGTTTGAAAGGAAAATAAATAAACTTTAAACCATAGTTTCATTTCCTTATACAGTTGGTATTATCAAAATTGAATATTGAAAAATACTGAAAAGCATGAATTAAGGAAAGTTTTCAAGAAATGCCCAGTAACCAGTAAATTCTTGGTCATAGATCTGTAATAGACATTAGATAATTTCACATATCTCTGATATGCATCTTGATCTATTAAAGAAGAGTAGTCAGGTAAACCATAAAACAATGTTCACTTTTAATACTATATTTTTTAAAAGAAACTTAGCCATGTACAAAATATGAATAGTTATTGTTGTATTCATATGCAGTTGATACAGCTTAAGTAAATTATTTTGCATATTTGGTATGCCAAGCTATATACACTCTGATAGAAAACCTAGTTTTATGTCAGATGAGTTAAGAAGATTTTTTTTCAAAGGAAAGGTATAACTAATAGTAGATCTACTGCATACAACCCACGGGGAAACAGTCAAGTAGAGAGACTAAATGGAACTCTGTGGAGGACAATCAACTTAGCCTTAAAATGAAGAGGTTTTCCTCTGTATCAATGGGAAACTGTACTATCTAATGCTCTCCACTTGATTCATTTCTTATTGTGTACAGCTACAAATTGTACTCCTCATGAATAGATGCTTTCATATCTGAGAAAATCTACCTCTGCAAGATCTGTTCCTTCATGGTTGATGATTCCTAGGAAAGTACTTATGAAAAACTATGACCAGAACAAGTACGAGCCTACTGTACAAGAAGTTGAGCTGATTCAGGCAAATCCTGATTACGCTCTTCTTAGGCTACCAAATAGAAAAGAATGTTCTGTTTCTCTACATCACCTCACTCTTACTGGGGGTGGGGGTGATGACAATCTCTGAACCTGAATCAGTTACAATAGTCTTCAGTATCCCTATACCAGATTTGGATGGAAATAAAACAATAAAAATAAGAAGATACTGTACCATAACCCGTGTCCAGTGATTCAACTGAAGGGGCTGAACCAGGAACCTGTAACTCTTCTAGCTCCAAAACTGCAAAAATGTAATCCTAAATCTTCTAAAGTGCTCTAAGTGTATCACCAAAGAACCAAAACGACTCAGCAAGGTAAAAAAAATTAATTAGGTTGAAATTTTTTGAAATTGCATTCCTTTTGTTCTTTTGCCAAAATAAAGTATTCCAAATTTACATTGTCAAAAAAAAAAAAAAAAAAAGTTGGTGAAAATGTTGTATTCATATGTAAATCTGCACCTGATAAATAGCAGTTGAAACAAATCCTAACCTCGAAGATGAAACTACTACAGTGAATACTTTTAACTAATTATAGTTTACAACAATTACTATCTAAGTTTTTAGACATAACAAAAATCCTATTTATATTATTATTTTACTAAGGAACCCTTTCAATTTTAAAACTATTTTTTCTATAGTATTTGAAAATAAATTCTATATAAATTGAGATTTGGTAAAAATAGACAAATTATAGTGGGCATTTCATTAATTAATCAGTTTCAGACAAAATAAGAACTTTTTATTGAAAATTATTAAAATATGATATCCTACTGAGTGGATACCAACTTAATAAAATGTTATTAATTTATAATTTATGAAGAAAGATAAAAATTACACAGTATTTAAAACAAATATCAAATTATGAATTTGCAAAGTTTTAGCTTTTAAACATTGATAGTTATTAAGTTATTAGAAATATTATAATTTTATAACCTTCAAGTAACAGATTCGAATGAGGCTGAGCATTTTTCTGTTAAATATTCACACACATTTATGTCTACTACTATGTGTGTGTACCAGGTATTAATAAAGGACAATGTATCAAGTAATCACTGAGAGTAACAGTCTGAGGAACAGTCAGGGTTGAAGTAGTAAAAGGAGTCATTAAGATATCTTCCTGTGATTAGCCTGTTTCCTGATGTATGACAGGAGAAATTGTGTCTATAAAAAAGGAAAAACAATTTTTGTAAAACACATCAACAATTTCTAGAATATAAAAATTTTGGATTTAATTTTTATCTGCTTTCTTTTTTTTTTCTCCTTTTTCTTTGTGGGGGAGTTGAATATTTTTACAAGACCAAATTTCCACCCTCACAACCTTCCACATTTCTTTTAACAGAAACTTTGCTGAATACAAAACATAAATAGTCACTATCTGAGCATATAGACATATAGGAAAAAAATCCTATTTGTGTTGTTATTTTAGTATGTTTATGCCTGTTACAAAGAAATATTTTGACTAATGTGAAATTTAAAAAATTTTAATAATTTACATTTAAGCAACCCTGATTTATTGAACTTATCTTATATTTTCTTCACTTCAGGAACTACAAATAGAAAAAAGAATGTCTGCAGGAGAAATTACTGAGGATGTTAAAGAATCTGAAAATATTGATGAGGGAGAAACTGAAGCATTGCCAGAAAGTGTGCCAGAAGCTATAGAGGAAGCCACTGAAAAAGCTTTAGAAGAAAATCCAGAAGAAGAAGAAGCAGAAATTGAAGCAGAAGAAGAAGAAGAGGAGGAGGAGGAGGAAGAAGAAGAAGAAGAAATAGAAGAAGAGACAGTGGGAAGCACATTTGAAGCTACAATAACAAGCACAGCTGATTATACTGAGATGGGCACAACTGAAGATACTTCAGCCTTAGAGACACCAGGAGGCAACTCTACAGGGATATTAACTGAAACGAAAAGTTATGAACAATCACCAGATGATGATCGTACTTGAAATGACATAAACTGCTGAAAATGCTACTGAGACACATTTTATCAGAAATAAAAAGGAAATTCACGTATTTATCTGTAACCAAACTTTTTTTAAAAATAATAACCTATGTAATTAATGATATAATGGATGAGATTTATAAAAAAAACTTACCAATACTTGTATTCATTTGTTAGATACAGAGGGACACAACAAACTCTCATGGTAAAAGAGAAAAAATGAACAATAATCACTTATATTTCAGTACAAATGCATTTTGGTTTTAAGCATATGTAAATATATATATTTATGAATTGGGATCAAATATGGATTGTAATCCAACAGAATTATAGGATAAAGAGCAAATAGGAAACATTTATAACTTTCACATGTTTTGTTTTTATTTAAGCTTCATAAATGCAATATGGAGAAGCAAAGAAAATTCTGTATTTTGTGTTTATTTTTCATTGGTTATATAGACCTCACATGTATTTGTCTTGTCAGGTGGCTTTTGTGTGTAGGATTCTTGTGTTTATGTATCATAATTTTAGATGGTTTATGCAGGATTTGGTTTATAATGTGTGTGTGTGTGTGTATTATATCATTTGTGCTTGGAAAAATAAGAAGAAAAAAATTGTCAGTGGTTAGGAACCAAGGCAAGCATTATTGGCAAATAGAATTCAACACAAGAGTTGAATACTCCAACTTACTAGCTTGTTAACCATTAACCTACAGTTATTATATGAGAGATGCTCTCAAAGGAATGCTTCCTATTTAATCCCATCAAAATTAAAATATACAAAGAACAATAACAAAAAAATATCATTCTTATTGGTGTCTATGCATTTTTAAAGTACTCATCATTTGTGAATTGATATTATTTAATAAGAATCAAACTGATCATATGATTATTTTTCAATTTTTGACCTCATTATGGATTTTGGTTGAATAAAACTTCAAGTGATAAAATAAGCATTGTTCTGTTAAAGGAAAAATGATTCTCACCTAAAAAGGCATTATTTCTAAGATGAAAGAAATGTTCCTAGAATTGTTTTTATTTTGTTTACCTTTGTTATAGACAAGCTATGGTTGCAAGAAAGAAATACGACAACAGTAGAAATAGATTTACGTGGTTTATTTCAACAGGAACGGGTGGGTTTGGGACAGCTACCTTGTGGTAAAGTTCATAAGCAGGCTTCAGATCTAGGTCAATCTCTCATAGTAGTTCACACATGTTGACGGTTGTTGACGCTCCCCTGCTGTCAGTAGCTGACCGTAACAGGTCTCTACTCTGGGCACCTGTTGACTGCCTGTTGAACTTCCGTGTGACCCCCTTTTATAACGTTTTTTTATGGCTTAACAGGCTCAAAAAATGAAGCGAGTATAATTAGGAGGGAAGCATTTTTATTGGACGAAAAATAGATCACTTTAAATATTATTTTATTTTTCGACCGGAACACGTGTGTCGGGAACATTTGTGAAGAAAGATAATGGTCATTTTGTGACGGGGTTCTCGCTCTTGAGTATTTGCCTGTAAATCAGCTGAGATATGTCTTATTTTATTTTATAACCCCTTTATCTTTGGTAATAATCAATCAACCAGTAAAAGAGAAAACTATTTTTCTTTACTCTTTTTATTGTTTCGCAGATTCAAAGATAAAAGACAAATTTCTCCATTTTTTTTTTTTTTTTTTTTTTTTTTTTGACATACTTAAACAAATATGAAGAGTTATATATATTTCTGACATTTAATCAATCACAGTAACAAAATATTCCCCAGATATGAAGAGTTGTTTCCACTGAAATTAGATTCTTAGATTCTTAACTAACTTTGATACAAGTGCATGAAAGCCAAGCTGGACAACCAGTCTGCAACAGATTAAGCAAAGACATTTTAAGAATCTAAGATCTAGATTAAAAAAAAAAACAAAACACAACTTTATGTTAAAGAGATGCAAATCTTGTAATGTGGATGTCTTTGACAAACTTCCAATTGGCTGCCCCAGTTGGCTGTAACTTAATGGAATTTTTTGCATCAATAATTGACTTGTAATGAAAGAGAGGAAAACACAGAATGTGACATGCAGAATAGAGAGCAGGGAGGAATGGTGACCAAATAAAACTTTTACTGACATTAGCAAAACTAGTTTCATAAAGCATTGAAAAAATAAATCAAGTTGTATATTTATTAGCTGAATGGATAGACATCTAAAGTGGAGGATACATTGGCCAAAGAATTGTGATAATGAAAACAAAGATGAGATAATTAGTCTGGCTGAAAATACTAAAAAACAAGTACAATGGATAAAAAAATCCAAAAATGTAGCAAAAGTTGTTTCAAGACTGGGTGAATAAGAGTTAGAAACTTGATAAAAGTTTCTACCAGTCTACATTCCTCCTAAAGTCACTGATGAAAAAAAAAAAAAGTGGAATTGAAATAATCTCTAAAATATCTATCTTCCATTTCATTCCTTATCTTGGGTCAGATTTGGAAAATTTAAACATTATGGTGTCTGCTTATTGTTATTTTGTAGTGTTTCTGATGAAAAGCCTTAAAAATCTATATAAATTAAAATTTGGTAAAAATGGACAAATTAGACAGATTCAAATTATAGCAGACATACAATATATTCTATTAATTAATCAGTTTCAAACAAAATAAAAATCTTTATTGAAAATTATTAATAAGATCACCAGAGTGGATATCAACTTATAATGAAATTTAATTAACTTATAATTTACAGAAAAAAATAATATTACACAGCATTTAAAATGTATATCAAATTATTAATCAATAATTAATATTAGTCAAATCATTCAGCTGGCTCGAGAGGAACTTGAATTAAAAAACAAAATTAATGCTCCCCGCCTCCCTGTTTGGAGTGGGGGATGGTGTGAGAAAAAAAGTTAGAGGAAAAAAATGAAAATTAATAAACAAAATACGTTGTTACCAAATAGGTTTCAAAGAAAAAAATAGAAAATTCTAAATTTAAATTCAGCTCATACTTTGATCATTCCTGATTTCATTATGACAGTAGCTACAAAAGACAGGAAGCTGTGGAGAGGCATGGTACATAGAGAAGTTATTCAAAATATTATGCTCACATATTCAAATTGAGTTGAGCATTTTTTTTGTTAAATATTCAAGTGTATTCATGTGTCTAATAATATATCTATGTGACATCTGTCTAAATAAACGGCAAATTCTGTTTGTCTGTCCGCGTGTCTGAAATCCCTCTAACTTGAGCCACACTTGCTCTACATAGACATATTATACCTTTTTGGAATCAGGATGATACCGGGATTGAAAATATGCCATTCATCTGGTGCTTGAACATTCAGCATTGGAATTTGTGTCCAGATGAGAAGGGAACAATTAAAAATTCAAATTTTAAAATAACTGAAAAAAAAAAAAATTGTGATTTTAAGTTTTTTATTTATATGAAGTTTAAAGTAACACAAAAACTTTATGAATTTTAAAATTCTTGTTTTAAATTCAGTTTAAGATATCTCCAAATCTTTGTGAATTGGGGAAATCAATTTTATTTCTTCAAAATGTCAAGGAATCAGAGTTAAACTGTAAGTTTTTGTGATATGAGGTTTTGAAATTCCACAGAGTTAGTGATTTGAAGAATTCAACTCAGCTGAAGCTCCACAGAGTTAGTGATTTGAAGAATTCAACTCAGCTGAAGCTCCACAGAGTTAGTGATTTGAAGAACTGTGGTAAACATGCATCAGTACAGACACAAATAGGGCCTCGGATCACATGCAGACATGTTTGTCAGCACCATTTACATCTGCGATTTTTGTGCTATCAGCGGAACAGTTTGGCACATCTAGCTAGATATGGGCCTCTCTGGAACTGGTCAAGATCTAGGTCATTGTAAGATGCCTCATGCAAATAAAAACTCGGGGGAAACAGCAGTTGGAAAGACATGGTGTCTTGTGAAATCATTCCTGTGGGCATTTTGTTCCTCAAGTTGCTGTGGTTTCTGAGGCAGTGTTATTTTTTCTTACCTCCCATCTCTTTCCCCTCCCTCCCTATTATCTCTGTAGTTGTTGGGAGAGCAATTGGTTAAGTGCTCCCTCCTCAATCTCAACAGACTCTTTGCTTACATTACAAGAACTCAATTTTCAGCCTGAATTGGAATTTTGGTCCAAATTGGTCTTTTGGCTGGAATTGGAATTATAGCTTGAACCAGAGTTAAAGTGAGGTTTTGAAGTTCCATTGAGTGATTTGAGGAATTCAAAGTTATTTCTCCAAAATGCCATGGAAAAATCCAAAGACAAGAGCTCTAATTCAAAGTAAGAGAAGAGCAGAAGAAACACCAGAGGAGGCACAAACTAGGAGACAAGCAAATGTTGCAAACTATAGAAAATCAAGAGCATCTGAAATTTCAGAAGAGGTACAAGTCAAGAGAGAAGTAAGTGCTGCAAGACAGATAAGATCAAGAGCATCTCAAACATGAGAGGAAGTGCAAGAAAGGAGAGAAGCAAATGTTGCAAGGAAGAGGAGGTCAAGAGCTGCAGAGGATGACAGACTTTATCAAGAAGAGAAACAGATGCTGCAAACCAGAGCAAAATCTTTGGAAAGACCTGATGAAAGACATAGCATGATTATGATTATTACTAACTAAAATGAATCCAAGCTGGATTTTCAGTACAACTGTGATAGTGACTATTCAAGTTCTCCAAAGATATCTATTGGATCAATGATTATTCACTGTAAGCATCGTAATACGCTCAGATTCACGGATTAATAATATGGGATGTGCTGTAGCAAAGGAAAAATACAACTGGAACATCTACCAGTTCCTCCAGAGCCATTGTTATCCCTTCTGGATGGAAACTCAGCTGAATCAAAACACTTCATCTAGCACATTAGAAGCTATAATAACTGTTTTGCAATGACTTCATTTGGTGCCAAAAATGCTACCTTGCCAGGATGGAAAACAACCTGCAGCATTCAGGATAGGAGCTAGATTAAAAGATCACACTGAGTGTGGCTTTTAACCTAGTGTATAAATAACATATCAAGTAGTCAGTTCAAGTAAAAGTCTGAGTCAAAGTAGTAAGAAGAGTCATTAAAGCTTCCTGTATCTGTTTCTTGTCATAAGAAAACTATCTTCAATGAAGAAACTTGACAAAAAAAAAAAATTTGTAAAATGCTTCAACAATTTCTAGAATATAAAAATTTGAGATTTGCACTTTATTTTCTTCACTTCGTTTCCTTTGTTGACAAGTTGTATATTTCTTTTTTTCTTTTTTTATAAGGCCAAATTTTCACCCTCTCAACATTCCATGATTTTATTTTTCTTCATCTTATTGTTGCTTTTTGTCACAACACTCTTCAACAGCTAAACAGAAAAAATAATCAAGAATAAACAAGTAACTTCCAAGATAAAATTTACAGCCCAGACCACAGAAGCTTATTTTTCATAGATGTCACCCTTATGATTCATCTACAGAAACCTAAAGATTAAGTCAAAGCTGTAATCATTCTATCACTTTCTTTCTGATTCTTTATGCCATTTTGTTTTATGGCTTAATTTTATTTCTTTTAGATCAAATACTTTCATTAGTACTATTAATCGATTGTTATTTTTTCTCAATCTTATTGATACAGTAAGAGAAAAATTATAAATAAAGTAACAGTAATAAAATATATTTTATAAAATAAAATTAAAAGTAATGTAGTGGTTAGAATTGATTAAAAAAAAAAAAAAAAATTAAAAAAAAACTATTTTCTCTCCAGTATATTTAGAAAAAAAAAAGTAAAAAAACTTTTACTCAGCTGGGACCTAATGTCACTTCTGGTAAAGTGGTTGGCTTGCTATCTTTATCATTTTATGTAAGCTTTAGCACCTTTCTAAATCCAGAAAAGTAAACGCACTTAGAATAATGTTCTCAAACAAATATGTAGTCTCATTTCTTAGTGATCAAAAGGTTTCAAAGATTAATAGTTCTGTGAATATATAAGATACTGTGAGATCTTTTGTTACAGGACTGTTTAGGCAAGATTGTAACATTTAATTGTTGTAAACTCCAATGTTTACCTGAAATAAACAATCTAAAAGATTTTAAATGTCTATATGCAATACACAGTTAAATACTAACCTACAGATTTGGATGCACTTCAATTAAGACTTAAAAAAGAAAAAAAAAATGAGAAGTTATTTTAATTTATTGTTCTCTTTTAAGAAATAAAATAAAATTACATTTTATATTGATGAAGATAAAAAACATTAACCATTTAAAATCTTTGAAATCTCAAAAATATATAAATCCAAATTAGACAAGAGTTTCCTTGTTAGATCTATCAGGTACAACTTTTGATTTTTCTTTTTTCTTTTTTTTTATAAATTTCTCTTCACTTTTTAAGTCCAAGTTTAATAATTTGTCTTTTTTTCTATCACTGTTCATAACTGTTCTTACATTCTATAGTGTTTTTTTGCTTTGATTGTGAGGATTAATGAGAAATATCCAGCATTTTGGATCTTTTTCAATAAGTAAAACGAAATTCAAATTTTTTTTTCTTTTCAGACTTTCATACTTTAAAATTAACAACAGCAGCTTTTGGATAAAAAGAAAAAAAAAAGACCCAAAAGTTTTGCTTTTTATGTCTAGTGATGAAGGTAAATATGCCAAGTGGTAAAACTTGCCAAGGTTTACTTCATTACCATTATCACCATGAAAAAGGAAGGAAAAAACAGCTTAACAAAAAAGAAAATAGATAAAAAGAAAAAAAAAATGGGAGAAAAAAAATTATGAGAAGATTGAGATAAAAGAAAGACCAACAAAAAGAACAAAGGAAAAAGCAATAAAAAAGTGAGAAAAAAAAAGAAAAAAATAAACAAAAGGAAGGAAGGAAGGAAGGAAGGAAGGAAGGAAGGAAAATAACAAAAAACCCTCTATGAAAGTAGTAATTATCTAAATTATAAGAATGAAAGTGTATATAGTTTTGTATGATTCTAGAACTGATGTAAACTAAAGTTTTGTTTAAAAATTTAACCAATGTTGGCTTAAATCAATCAATCTTTTGAGGAAAGTAAGTATCCATTTGACAGACAGGAGAAAATAAATAAATTAGAATGGAGACATTTGGAATAGCACCACAGAGAATTCTGGACCACTAAAATTGCTTCAGTTATACATTAAGACTGATGTAGAGAAAAGTAGAACTAAGATTACATCAAAAAATGCTGAATTCTTTTTTAAGTATTCTTTTTTTTTCCTGATAGCTTATATTTCTCAATACATTAGAAGTATTTTATTACCATTAATTTGTAACTAAATTTCTAATCTTCAGAAATTAGATGTCAAGCTCATACATTACACTTAAAAGCATTTCATTCAAGACTGACTAAAAGCCTTAACATTATTTTTTTACAATTTTGAATGTAGAACTGGACTTTTTTGAAAGACAAAATATTGAATTGTTTCAGACAGAAAATGGCATGTAGAAAAAGCAATCTTTTAAAAATAAACACTACATCTTAGTAAAACAACAATATAACATTCCTTAATTATGTAAATTTCCTTTTATTAGTTGTAAATCATGAGCCAAGTTGAAAATTGAAGACTTGCAGGTTTCAATCAGTCATCTGATGTTGAGGTTCAATCCAGATATTACAAGAATAAAACTTCCAACAAACAAAACTTTTTTTGAGAAAAAAGAGAAAAAGAAAAAGAAAGAAACACAAACGCACGTATAAAAATATCATTTTATTTCTGGAATTCTTAATAAAAGTAAATATATAACAAGTATTCATAAAAAGAAAAAACAATATTTCTTGACACTCATAATGCAAAACCCTCTTTTATAAATACCTTTTTGCATATAATAAAACCCAATGATAAAATTTTTAATCGTGTATGTGTCATCACTGAAAGCAAAAATGATATGCTGAAACTTATGTCATCCAATGGCGAAAAACCATTTTTTTAAAAAATTGAATGTTCAGGCATCAAAAGAAATAGTGATTGTATTACAATTTGTAGATGACAGTTACAATTTGTCAAATTTTGAGTCAACAAAATAAAAAAAAAATGTCAACCTTTCATAATAAACTCAACGAAGGAGTTGTTTTTCTTTTTAATTCACATTAAAGTGAAATCCTTAAGGATGCAGATAAAAATATTGCTTCAAACAATTTGTAAAGTAGATTCTTTATTCTTATATCAAATTCATAAGATACCAAACAAATCATCAGAATACCAACTGACAAACAATGTAACCCAGCAGTTTAGAATTCATCAATTTACTAAAATTAGAGGTTATGGCCTGGTTACAATTTGTGTCCAGGAAGTGGTTAATTTGTGGTTTCTTTATATATTTCAGCTAGGAAGAAACAATGAAATAATTCACAAAATAATTTTTGTCATTAGTAAATCATTAAAAGTTAATATTTATTTAAAGATTTATGGAAATTCTCAAACTTTTTTATAAATAGTTATTTTAGTTATGGCAAATTATATATATATATATCTATATATATATATATATATATATATATATATATATATATATATATATATACAAAAAAGAAAATTAAATTTACAACAAAAATACTCTGAAAATTAAAAAATATATTTCAAATAGAATTTTAAGAGTGGACAAAAATTTCTATCATTGCAGTTCTTTGGTTCAAGTACAAATGACCAAAATTTCTGCAGCAGTTAACACCCAAAACCAGAGAAGATATTTGAGACAACATTTCACTTGGACAGATAGGATTTCTAAAATCATTTGTCATTTTTAGGAGAATAAGAATTACACTTATTTTCACTGAGCTTTTTCCTTTTCTGTCAGTTCTCAAATTATTTTCTTTTTCAAAGAAAAAAAATCTAATTTTTATCTGTATTTTAAGCAAATTTAGTACATCAGTGTTCAGTGATTTTTACTGATAGTTGCTTATCAATCAAAATCATTGAAGACAGATGTACTTGATGAGATTATGATCCTGGGACCTCACTGACTTCTTGAGATAAAATAGCAAAAATTCAAGGCCACTAACTACACTGGATCAAAATTAAAGATACTGCATTTGCTAATGTATAAAAGCCCTCATCCAATTATTTACATTTACTATTACAGTATTATAGAGTTACACTAGGTACAAGTACTAGTAATTTATGACATCTATGTAAACATTAGTCTGCTGCATACCTCAACTTTGCATATAAGACCCAGTAGATATTTTTGAAAGAAAAAAAAAGTGGGATATATGCTATCAAATACAGTATAACTACACACATCTACACTAGCTATACCAGTTTATAAGCAGATCAGATGAGTGCAGTCTAATTATTTTGAATTTATTTTAAAATATCCTGGAATGTATATAGGTAAATATTAACTAAAGAAAATAAACAGGTCAAATAAAATAAAGTGAAAGTCTCCCAAAGATAATAGTTTACAAATGATAAAGTGAGATTATAGAACTAGGTGATTTCTAGTCTCAGCATCCCAAATTAATCATATCATTTGTAACTCAAATTAATTTAAGTAATTCTGAGTCAATTGTATTAAGTATGTTTGGGTAAAAAGAAGACCTACGTTAGAAAGAGAAAAGTAAATATCATACACAAGCCCTTTTTATACATTAAGAGTTCTGTCTTATATTCTTATTCCAAGAATAATAGAAATAAATCTCTAACAATATGAATGAGATACTTGCAAGAGAGAACTTTGGATGCATTATATGTCTGCATATACATGTTCAATATTCAGTGTCTTCTCCACATGTGTATACAATGTTTACATTTAGAAAGGAAGGTAAAACAATATAATTTAACTCATAACTAATGTGTAAGATTGTTTTTGAAGTAAGGTTCTATTTTTAGAGAGGGAATAAAACTAAAAAAAAAAATGGTTAAATTAGTCAAAATCATAATTATGACAATAGCATATAACAGATCTCTCATATTTCCATAGGAAATATTAAGAAAAAAATTATTAGATGTTTATACACTGAATGTTACTGAAAGTTCATCCTATTTGCCCAGTTTCTTTTTGCATATTTATTACAAATTTATGAAATTCTAATATTTGTAGAGAAAAGGTGGATCCTATATGCTATCAAATGACTTTGAAACTAATTATTTGCTTCCTTATTGAAAGAATTTCAGACACTAAGCAAAGAAATTTCTGATAATGCTGAACTGAATTTTCCCTATTTTTAAGTTTTGCTCCAAAGAAAATGGTTCAGTGATCTGAATAAGCTTTGAAGGTGTCAAATCCAGTGAATAAATGTGCATAGGTAGATCTTTTCAACCAAATAATTTTGATTTTCTCTTCAGTTTATTTTATTGAAAATGTATCATTCTGAAGACAGACATTTTGTGTTGACAAAATCTGGAGATTTAGTGCATGATTTTTATTTCTTCACTTGTTCAAATTATTGGTAATAAAGATCTGCTATCATCAGTTTGTCATAAGAGGCAAAATACAAAATAATCCATCAACTGCTCACTAAGACTTTATAAAAGTGAAGTTTTACTTTAGCTGATGTAATTTGTTTCATCCTGAACTGTTGTCATTGGAAATAAAGATGATAATGTTCTTGAGAGTTAAACTTACATTTTGCCACATTTAAACAACTCTCTAAAAATTCAAATTACTTTTCATACAGCATAATATGGGTTTAACTAAAAAGACCATAGTAATTAACATCAGCTATAAAGGACAACGGGGTGTAGGAAATTTAACAGATGGAAATCAAGTTAGCCTTTGCTTTTCACATCGATCTGCAGGTCAACTGCATCCTCTCAAACAAACCAAAAGAACAGCCAGTCAGAGTAACTAAAAGTGCCTTTCAACCACACTCTGGATATCCCAGATTCATTCAATAAGGAACAAAAGAATTAATTTCATACTGAGTTTTTCTCATTGCTAATAATGATGATATGTTATTGGCAATTAAATTTACCTTTTACTATATTTGAAAATTTTAATGACTAACATATTTGAATCAATATTTCCATTCATTTTTTTTTTATTAGAATCATTTTCTCAACATATTAACCTATCAATGTCTCCTATTCTATATTATTGCCTCACTTTACATACTTAATTCCCCCTTGAAGAATAATTTGAAACATTTCAAAAGTATGGCGAAAAAAAATATTGATACCTTGTAAACTCAATCCAGATATTTTTTCCTTTCAATATAGCAGTCAAGCACAAATGGATTTAGCATTTAAGCTTGAAAATTCAAGACAAAGCAATTGTGTTAATACTGATCAGGCCAACAAAACCAATATTTTGTTAATGAATACAAAATCAAAAATCTTCTGGTGATGTTGGTTTTGCCAGATTTATTTTGCATTTTGTCGCAAAATGTTATGAACTATTTTGTATTTTATAAGTCCTGTTTGATAGTTACTTTTCTGAATAACTGGAATAAACTGGATAAAAATATATTACTTATATACAATAAATGAATAAACCATCTCTATCACATTATCATCATGGAAAAGGTTTTTGTATTAATATATTTAGTGATCTTGACAAAAATGATCATATTCAATTGGAATACTTGATACAAGTAAGTTTCTACTTTAATATCTGGTGTAAAAATTAAAAGGTGTAAAAACCATAATTTAGGCTAAAATTGTATTTAAGCCCAAATACATAAATTGTTTTAGTATTTTGCAAGTCTGTAAATGATATTAGGCACTTGTGGATGGAAACATTTGTCTAAGGTCTTGTGTCCTTGGGTTTAGCCAGGATAAAATATTATAGCAAGATCGTTAATGAAAGATAAATTATAACCAATGATATTGCAAATTTATTCCAGTAGCCATTACATATGAAAGGTTTCTCTAAGACACAAATAAAATTTTTGTTTAAAAAAAAGACAAACTGAATTCTCTAAAAGAAAATTTATCATGAAACAATAAATTCAAAATAAAACAAAATTACAGAAAATTAATGATTTTTTTCCATGATACAAATAAAACCAACAATGGCAACCTCAAGTTTTCTTATGAACCAAAAAATGAAGAATACAGAACCAATGAATTTTATATAACAAAAAAAATGTAAGCTTGTGATTTATGTAAAGATTTTGGAATCTTTAAATAAATAAGCTTACATTTTTTTTCACTGTTACAAAACCTGGTATTGAAAACATGAAATTTTTATTCTTTGACTAGATAACTAATGAATTTATAACTAAAGCCAATCATTTTACAATGACAGTCAGTCATGTTTGATGTTTCAGTCTTCATACAAGTACAACTTCTTGGTGAAGATAATCATAAAAATAAGTTACAATATTATTCTCTTTAAATGCTTTAAATCTACTGATTATACTAAAACAAGTAGAAAGCATATTTGTGATTTATAAAATATATGTGATTTATAAAATTATCAAAATGATATTGCATTTGGTTCTATTTGGGCTAATTTCTTAGTTTTTCTTTTGTTTCACATTTTGCAAATATTTCAGAACATAAGACGTTCAAGAAAAGCTGGTGATAACACAGCCAAAATGTGGTGGTGATGGTGGGGGGAAATTAGTTCAAACAAATCCAAATACAATGCCTACCAAAATAATATTGAATTTTTGTTTGATTTGTAAGTGTAGTTGCATAACTTAATAAGCAAATAATTATTTTGTCAAACATTTATTTGATAAAATAATTATTTTGTTAAAGGGAAAAAAAGAATCAAATGAAAAATACCATTTGACTTTTTTCTTCCTGTCATTAATTAAAAAAAAAAGAATATCTAATTCAATTTGCAGTTCATTAACAGTAATCATATTAATTCAGTTATTTCCACATATTGGATATTTTAAGACTATTTCTTTTTGCTTTGCTTGATTTTTCAATAGATTTGTTTTTAATATTTTTGTTATTTGGCTTTTTCTGCTGGATTCTTATTCACAAAGCCTATTCCCTCCCACTGAAATTCTGCGGAAATTTATAATAAATGAATCTTAGTGTATTTTCATTGTAATCTTCATTTCTGTGAATATTGGCACAGAAAATTAAAGGGAGAGAAAAATAAATAGTATTCACAAAGTTCTAATAATAATTATTCATTACTTTAACCGAGTTTAAGAGAACTTGAAATTTTGAGGTAATAATATTTCTTTGTGCAATACTGATAAGAGTATCATTCCAAGAGTTGTTCTGACTATTAAACTCATTCTTTTTTTGTTTGTTTCTTGTAGATGCTTTTATTAATACCATGCTTGATTCAATCTATTCTTCAGTCTTCTTCATGTGCCTAAGCCACAGAAAAAGAGAAAGGTCTATTTCCATATAAACTGTAGCAAAGAAAAAAAGATAGTGTTGTATGATGAAGTCTCTCACATGAGAAGTAGGTATGCCAAAAATTGCATATTTAACATCCTCTGTAAATATAAAGGAGAAACCAGCTGGTCCTTGGAAGTCAAATGCAAGGAACATAAAAATGGCATAGAATAGATGGAATAGAAAAATATAACATGCCAGAGTACATATGAAGGAAAAAAAAAAAGGGATCATACTAGACTCTCTTGGATGAGATCTAAATAATAGATAGGGAGCATAATTTGAGAGTAAGGGCATATGTTAATCTATGTAAGGTTTGTGTAGATTCCAATATATGGATTTCTTTATATAACTGTAAAAGAATTGAAGAGTATCCTTGCATAGAAAAAATATGGAATCACTTATATTAGGTTGTTGGGAATGGGCTGATTAGATCAGTAAAACCAAACCAATTTCTTTAGTCTTCAAACTTAAAGAAAAAAACAAGAAAGAGAGAGGGGGACGGGACATAAAGAGAGAGAGGTGGCTGAGAGAGGGGAGAAAAAGAGAGGGAGGGAAGAGAAAGAGAGGGGATGGAGGAGAGAGAGGGAGGGAGTAGAGAGAAGGTGGTGAGAAAAATAAGGGGGAGGGAGAGGAAGGGGTGAGAAAAGGGGAAGGAGAGAAGGGAAATAGGCAGGAAGGGAAAGAAAGAAAGAGCAGAGAGAGCCTCTCTCTCTTTCCATATAAATTATTTACCTGAAGAAAACTATAGAATTGATTGTCAGAAATGCTGTGTTAACAAAAGCCAAAATTATTTCTCTATTAGATAAAATTTTATGTTCAAATAAAATTTTAACTGAAATAATGAATTCTCATAAATATTAAGTCATAAAAACTTAAATATTTAAATGTTTATAGAATTAAAAATATTTTTAACAGGATTTAAAATATAGAAAGAAATGCTTGGTGGCAATTCTAAAGACCCAGTGATACAATGAACATCATTAGAATGTAAACTAAATGTTAAAATCTTCATGATAACTATCAACAAAATTGATATATTATCACAGGCAAATTTAAGAATGATGGAATATATATATTCCACAAATATGTGTGAGTGTGTGTGTGTGTGTGTGTGTGTACTAAGGAAATGAACAATATACAGATAACTGCATATGTGTGTGTATGTATGTACCAGGGAATAACACAAAAGCATCCTTAAAAAAAAAAAAAAAAGCAAAAAAAAAAAAAAATGTTATTGCAAGTATTCATTGGAACAAAAACAAGAACAACAAAAAACATTAAATGAGGAGAACACACAAATTAAAATGTATAAGTCGAATTACTTTGCAAAATGGATCACTCAAAACAGACGTCACCTTTTCCCACAGCCATACATAAAATGATCAACAACTCTAAATTCCACATTAATGATCCATGATCCTCATATTTCCAGATACAATTTTGTTCTCCAGGACAGCACCAGATGGAATGTCAATTCTTGAACCATGGTTTGCAATGATGATAACAGTACCCTAAAATTTAAAAAAAAAAAACATTTAAATTATAGGCTTTTTATTTATGAATGAAATATAGAGTAAAATGTTACATATACAAAATTTCTTAGGTAATTCACTCCACCAGAAATTTGGAAATGGTATGCTGTATTACACCAGAAGCTCCAATACAAACATTTCAGAGTGTTTGGGTGTCAATCTGAGGACAGTGCAGAGAATTTGGAAAGAGTTGGTAGATATATCCAATCAACATCATGGTGTTTCAAGTGATCACTAGTGATGGTGACGTTATGACTCCATTCATCTTCCCACAGGGCCTCAAACTCCACATAGAGGTCTACATCAAGTGCCTTCAAGAAGTAGTGCTGCCTTGGGTCAAGAAGGTGGCTACTGGAAGACCCTATGTCTGGCAACAGGACTCTGTACCCTGTCACACAAACAGAGAATCCAGTCATGGCAGTCAGACAATTTCTGCATCACCCCTTACATCTGGTCACCTAATTGACCAGACTATAACCCTACTGATTATTACGTATGGGGTGCAGTTGAGCGAGAGACCAACAAAACTCCTTGTAACACCAAAAATGAATTGAAGGCAAGGATTATGTCAGCATTCACGAACTTAAACAAGGAGACTATCCAGAAGAGTTGCAGGAGATTCCAAAGTCATCTGGAAGCCTTGGTTGAAACGTATGGCGATTACAATTTTATTAAATAAATTTACTCTTTAGTATTTCAAGATATTTTTGTGTAATTTTGGTAAATATATCTCTTAAAATGAATTGTTAGTGTTATTTTCATTTTTGCATAATTTAGATGGCAATTTATCTATCACACCCTGCATATTATATATTACACACACACACTGATGGAGAATAAACTAAAAGTACAATTGCAACACCCTGAACAACTATGCCAATTTAGGTACAGTTTGTGCATACTAATGAGTAGTAGGTATTCTGACAAAATGTTCAGTCTTCTGTCATTTCACAATATAGTAACACTCCTATATGTGCACCATCTGCATCTAAACTTTAAACTGTGATACATGTTTTTATCAGGTTCTGTGTGGTGAAAGAATCTAATGCAAGCATGTGTCATGTCACAGATGAATGGTTCAAGTTCTGAATGGCCATGTAGTATAGGCATTTACTAAGATTGATGCATTATTAGGGTAGCAGTAGCAGGACTGCATAGTACACATCAAAACAAATGTGGACCAGAAATGTCAATACAGACTGTTGGGAATTGTTTAATTGCAGTAGGACTACATGCATGCACATCTCACTAAATTGTATTTATTTATATAAGCATTAATATATTTTATTTTCATGCTTAATATGCTCCACTCTTTACTATGAATGAAAGCTGTGAAAAGATCAGTTATCTATTTGCGTATCAAATTATTTTATTATCAGAATTTTAAAAGCTAATAAAAACTGTGAACTTAGTTTTAGCAGCTTAAGAGTGGGTAAAGGCCTCTGTCTCAAAAATAGTATCCACTAGCCATATATACATGGCAGACATTAATAAGAAGCAAATAAATATTATAACATTGTCTAACCATGCAAAAACAGCTTTAATTACAGGTTAACCATTTATGAGTCATTTTTTATGATGATGAATCCATAGCAGTTTGCTTCTTTCATACAAATAATTAAAATTATCCAAACATTACTCTCATTTTGGATTTTAATTCTGATACAAATCTTCTCACATTATATAGGAATAGACACAGTACTGAAAACAAATCTAATGATAGTTGGAGAATAATATCAGACATGATGAAAAAATTAAAAAACAAAACAAAAACTCTTTGGTAATCAATTCTAAAACCATAAAAATGATTTATGATTTTTATAGATAGAAATAGATGATGAGTATTGAAATAATGATAAAATTGATCTATCAAATTTAAAACAATCTTTATTAGATGAAAGCATTTATAATACAGCTGTTGCAGTAACCAAACTTTACCTTGAGTGAAACAGATTTTCCAAATGTGACATCTCCTGATACAGTAAGATGATCCAATTCAATCATGTCAGGAATGCTGGCAAAACGTGATAAAAATTCTTTTACCTGAAACAAAGGTTATAATGTTGACAAAACATTTACATTGCTAGCTTTTATTTGAACTTTTTAACTCAAAACATTTTTACAAGTGCCTTAAAGACAGGGTTGTCCGATTGGGCTACAAGTAAAGAATTGGATTATATTTTGGAACCTAGCATTTTGATTCGACTTCTCATTAGCAAACCAAATTATCCCAGCTTATTTTAAAAAGCATCAAAATGCAAACTTTAGTAGCCTGGCTTTCAAAAGTAGCTCAGTCTTGCAACCCTATATTAAGAAAGCAATTTTAAGAATATATTGGGTAGAAAATACTTCAAATAAATTGATATTGATGGATATTAAAGTGACCTCAGGTTCAATTATTATAGCTTAGTTAAATTAATATTAACAACTCACAACTGGGACAAAACCTGCCAAAGTGAATTTAACTTTTATGAACTGGATAAGTAAACATTCATAAAAGTAAAGAATACAAGTCAGTAGTTTTCAGTTTGTCATTTAAACAATTAAATATATTTTAGGGAAAAAAAAGTCCAAAAATTGAAAATTGTATGATCTATAACAACACTGAATAATAATTATGAGAAAGTTTGTACAGGATAAAATAGCTGATAACTCCTTTGGAAATAAATAAAAAGACTCAACAATGAAGGATTTCTGGTTACAATTCTCTGTTATTAGCAGTTGTAGCAATTATTACAAAATTTAAAGTCAAAACTTTTTCAACACAAAAAAATGATTGAAAAAAATAAATAAATAAATAAATAAAAAGGCAGAAATTCTAACCTAAAAAGATTAATTTAATAATTGACCAATCACAGACCAGGAATTGAATCTGAAAATGAGGCTCATTTCTGATCTGACTCAACTTAATTTTTTCTAATAAAATAGAGACAGTTAAGTAGTTATTTCCTAAGTGAAGTTTAGTTTTGGTACAAGGCCAAAAGCATGAGACAACTAGTGAGGATCAAATTCATTACCAATAGTCTGCAAGAGCAGCTTGCTAATCATTACATAATGATGCTGGGCACCTCAAAGTGGTGTAATGGTTAGCAAGCTTGTCTTGCTGGAGCAATTATGATGGAGTAGTGAGTTCAATCCTCATTGGGTGCCCCATACTTTAGGCTTTGTGTCACATCTAACCTACTCTTAGAAAATCATCATTACACAATGAAGAAGAAACTAAAAGTGACAAATAAGCAGAACAGACAGTAACTGCACAATCAAACGCACACATGATCAAAATACATTTAATCATCAGGAACCATTTCCCTTTGGAACTCATGTTATCAACAAGTGTTAACCAGAAACAAACAGGTCTTACATCGACTACTAGCTGTTCAATTCTCACTTTCCAGCCTTGAGAGAGTTCAAAAACTTTTACATAATCTTATTTTCCACTCTGCAACCACTTTCCCACAGATGCAATGTCACAAGCCTATCCTTACAATGTTGTTATTATATATACTACAATCTTAATCTCTCTAAGTCAAGTGTGAATCATTACCTATCATCCTTATAACCTTCACTTCTTACAACCTCCTCATTCATTCATATCACAGTTTATTCCTCATAACCATTTTAACAATAACTCTCTAACTTGAGTGGCTCTTGAGCCTTGTATTGTGTTAATTTTACTATAAAAAATCCCTCATGTATCTTTAGCATACACTTTATCCTTATTTTTAACATTTAAAACTTATATGTTGCATGTTGATAAATTCATTTTTAGGATGCATGATACATATCTGAACTATTTCTATTTATCATCTTGATGAAACTGACAACAAATGTTCCATAGATTTTTGTTACATTGCAGCTCAGACTAGACACCAGGTTCATTGACAGGGTGCAGTTTATTCCAGTCAAGTGCTTGTGGCTTAAAAATTACCCTTCAGCCACGAGAGAAAAAAAATTTCTAGGAGTAAACCAGATTTTATTTTGGGGTTGTAACCTACTGCTACAAGAAAGTAAAATAGAGGATGGCACATAGTCCAGCAGCTGGTCTAACTTGTTGTTCTCCAAGGCCTGCTTTGTCCCTTCTGTTTGCCTTTCCATACGATGGTCAGTTTTATAGATAACAATTTTCTTTGTCTTGTCATCATCTAAAAAAAAGTAATTTATCTTCATTTTGTGACTTTCTGTCTAAGCCTCCTTCTCTATACTTTGAAGTTGACTTCACCTACTGATAACCATCAGTCGGAAGTAAATGTTCTGTATCCATTTTTGCAATAGGTCATGCCATTTTCACTTTAACAAGATCTCAACTGACTCATATTGTTACACTTTCTTTTCACTCTGATTGATAGTTAATTATGGTTTCATTCCTACAGCAACATTACCATTACCTGTTAATTCATTCACACAATTGTTAGGAACTATGGATTGAAATTTAGTAATGGAATCAGGTGAGCAAAATATATAAATCAGTTCCCTGTGCAGTCTTAATTGCATCAATGAAATTTAAATCAGTGCCCTTTATCTTAAAAGAACAATTTTCTTATAATCCATCTTTTAATCCATGTCATAAAGTATTGTTCAAAATAGGAATTACTATGAAGATAAATTCATTCAGATTTGAAAAATAATATTAAAGAACTTAATTTCATGATTACTGATAGTTTTTAATCAATGTCTCAAATATTTATAAAAATTGTTTGACTAGTAAATTTATCAAGTGAAAGATGAAGTTTTCTAATGTCAGTTTTAAAATTTTAAATTGCTTAACATTGACTTCTTGCACTAGAGAAGTTTCAGGGTGGAGTTTGGTGTGCACGCTCCTAATCCCACTCTTTAAATCAAATGCCATGGGTCACTAAGGTAGGACAATAGCAATCAGATTCTAGGTTTTCCACTTCTTTCTCCTAAGCATCTCCTAAACATCTTATGGAATCATTAGTCAAAGTTATTTCAGACTAGGCTACTTACAGTCTGGAAGTTTGCTCCCAACTTCACCAAAGGAACAGATGGGAATGAACGTAATTTGCTCATCTCCAGGGCCCCAGTCCTCATACTGTACAAGTTGCTCATTACTAGCAGAAGATCAGACGTTGTCTTTACAGGTAAAAATCTCTTCCTGGGCACATTGATACCTGCAAAAGAAAAAGAAAAAAAGAAACATGAATTTTAAAAGAAAATGGGGAAGATGTAATTAGAAAAGGCTGGAGATCTATCTGTAACAAGAAATTTCCTAAATCTCTTTACAATATGTAGACAATGACAAGTATGTAAACAAACTCAGTAAATAACATGTTTGGTGAGATTCATTTATTCAAAGCAAAATTCAACTTCCCTTAATCTTATTGATTTCCATATAGATAACATATTTACTAGTTTAGCCATTAACTCAATAAAATTTGAATATTGATACAACTAAAGATACTGTTGCATATCAAATACAAATGCTGATATAAATAAATTATTTCCTTTAATTCCCCTCCACGACAGCCTTGATGCTGATTTGGTACAACAGACTTATTTTTCAAATAATTTTCTTTACAACATATTTTGTTAAGGGAATCACATATTCATCACTTCCCACCAATATGAATATTTAAGATGGCACTTATATTTAGGACAAAAGAGTAAAACAATGGTTAGCATAAATAATTATTCTGGACACTAATTTTAACTAAGTTTTAGTTTTTACTTTCATTCATAGATTGCTTTTTATTGTATTGTTACAGTTGTCATTATAATATTAAAATTATTATTATTAAAATTTACTTATTTTTCTTTATTGATTTTAAAAAAGATGGAAGAAAAACATTTTTGGCACATACTGTTTTTATTTTAAGAAAATAAGTAATGGAAACATTAAAAAAAAAGATTTGAACAGTTTATAGAGAAGGTACATTGAATGACTGAACATATCAAAAATGGTTTGCAAAGATTCATAATGGTCCATGGTTGGGTAGACAAGTTGAGGTGGATAGAAATCAAATTAAGACATTAACTTGAAAATAATTAATGTTATAGAATGGAGAAGATTAACAACATTCTCAAAATATCCAAATCAAATGTTCAAAATCATTTACACCAAATTAGTTATGATGTGTGATTTCCACAAAGAAAAAACTCTTGAACTATGACTTTCTGTCTGTGATTTCCTACTTAGAAGTAATGAAAAGTGGATATTTTGCCACAATATGGAATCCAAGAGATTCTAAGACAAATAAATAACCACTAAGCATACATAAAGCCAATCTTCACCCAAACAAGGTGATGCTTTATACACAGTGTAATTGGAAGGTACTTCTTTATGATGATTTCCTTTTGGAAAAACAAATGAGATTAAAAGAACTACTGCATCCAGTTATATCACATGAAGGCAGTAATCAAAACCATCCAGAACTAACTTAAAGAGCATAATATTCAATCAGGATAATGCTAGACTGCATGTTTCTTTGGTGATCAGGTAAATATTGTCATAACTTGTCTGAATTTTTCAATCATCTGTCATATTCACCAAAAATTGCAGAATTAAATTACCATTTGTTCTTGTCTTTATAAAATATATTTTAATGAAAACAAAAAATTCCCTGAAAAACCACAAGAACCATTGCTCAGAAAAAAAATTCTTGGAAGATGGAATTATGAAGTTGACATAGTTGCAAATTCAGCAGTTCATAAAATTTATATTAACCTTTATTCAGTCACCTGAATTTACATACCCAACTGATTATGTGACTACAGTTTGTAGACAATCTAAAATTAGCAGTTTGTTTGTTTGGGTTGCAGCTAGCAATGGGTTTGCTGAGCTCATAAAATTCCAAGAACAGGTTCATACAAATCTGTGTGAAACTGCTGAATCCCACCACTGCATATAATTAATACTGGATATATATTTTTTTTTTTTTTTTAAACCTATAAGATCAGATTTTCTTTTTTTTAGAAACCTATTTTAATTTTTATGAAACTGGATTTTACAGTGGGCATTAATAGATTAATTAGATAAAGAACCTTCACCTTTTCACTTTTTCAACATACTCCGGTATTAGGCATAGAAATAAATGATCGCTCTTATTAAGTTTGAAGTCTGCCTTCAGTTCCTGCCTTAAACAACACTAGATAAGAGTGGAAGATGCATAGCAAAATATCATACACAGTTAAATATCATTTTCTCAAGAATTAATGGATTTATTTTTAATCCAACATTTTGATTACTTTGAATGTTATTTTAGTGGATACTCATATTTGAAATAGACGTCCCATTTTTATTTTTACTTTAAACAGTAAATATTACATCTATCAGCTGGTGTTTTCAAGAAATCTTAAGAAAATGTGCTCTTTAGCAGAAATCAAACCTTCATATACGATTGTATTGTTTTAATTGTCAACAATTATTTTATATTTGATACAATCACTTTTGGCATCTTTGTGTTTGAAGGTTTGGGTTTTATTTGAAGTGTATTAACAAAGATATACTCTAGTTGCAGTTGGACTAGTATTATCAAAACCATTTTTATTATGTATCAGTCTCACCATCTCATTCTACTTTGTATTATCAATTGTATGAATGAATTTTTTACTGTTATACTTTTAAAGCAAATTATGCTAAAATGCTGAGCCCACAGCTGTTGACATCTAAGATATAATAATCACTGCTCTAATTTTATAGAATGCTCAAGAATTAACAAGAACAGTGAATGTCTGAAAAACCAAATGTCAAAATTGCAATAACTGAAAGTGAAAGGAAGTGAAGAAAGAAAGAGAAAAAGTATAAAACCAATAAGGAGAGAGAATAAAGTGACAAGAAAAACAACATAAAGGAGAAATAAATACAACATTCTAGATGTACACATGTGAATACACACACACACTATGAAAGGAAAAAAAATCAAAAAAATCAATGTTGTACCAATCAAACTACTGGAGGGAGAGTCTGACTACAAAACACAGTTGGGATGCTAAAGGTAACACCAATCAGCTAAGTGACAAACTTTATATTTGTATTGAGATATATATAGAGTGTATCAAAAATATGTTTACAAACTTTGAGAGCTGCTTCCTCACACTGTATATATATATATATATATATATATATATATATAAAGAAAAGGTTGGATTTTTTTTATTTATTAATCCGACAGATTTTTATTACTTCAATGTTATGTTTAGTGGATACTTGTATTTAAGAAGACACTCCAATTATTTATGAAACAGTATATATCTTTTATTTTTGTCTACTGGCCTGAATATTTGGGAAATCTTATTAGAGAAAAATAAGCACTCTTGAGCAGGATTCAAACTTGCATTTCCCAAGAGAAAATCATCATTAGATTTGATGTGCTTTGATCTCTCCACTACAGTGTGTCAATGACAAAGAAAATTGAATAGTGCCTTTAAACACAGATTTTTTTCTCTGACTCTTGAAATAAGCATATCCTTTGGATCTTGACATAAACAAAGCAATTTGTAAAGAAAGGATATGGATTTTTTATTTTATTAAACCGACAGATTTTTATTTCAAATTTTGATCCTGGTTTGAAGCAGTGAGATGTCTAGACATACTGATGAGCTATGATACAATGAAACAGTCTGTCTGTGGAGATTATATATATATATATATATATCTCGACAGATGGATAGAGGGAGAGAGATACTTCAACATTGTGCAATGGTTAGCAAGCTTGTCTCACTAGATCAATTACAACTGAGTAATGAGATCATTCTTCACTGGGTCCTAGTTATTTTTGGTCTTGTGCCACATGTAAGTTATGTTTAATAAATACCTAAACTAGCTCCTGTTCTCTCTAAACTGTATAATAAATGCCTCACTGTCTCCTGCTTTCTTGCCTGCTGGAAGTTACCATCTGTTATTCCAGTTTTTAAGAACTCTGGTGAACCATCCGACCCTTACAACTATCAGCCTATTAGCCCTCTACCTCTTTTGGGGAAACTCCAAATTGGTCCATCATTTCTCATCCCAGGGCCTTTTTTCAGACAAGCAATATGGCTTTCGTTTCTCCAGGTCAGCTGCTAATGTACTGATGATAATTGCAGAAAGAGTATCATGCTATAGATAAAAATGGTGAAGGCCGGGCTGTAGCATTGGACATCTCAAAAACATTTCACAGGGGTTGGCATACAGGTCTTCTCCACAATCTGAAAAGTTACTGTGTCTCTGGACACATTTTTGAACTCATCCTGTCTCTTATCAAATCATGAAATGAAGGTTATCCTGAATAGCCACTCATCTAGATCCTTTCAATATTAATGCAGGTGTACCCCAGGGCTCCATTCTTGGTCCTACCATTTTTAATTTTTATTAATGACCTTCCTGATGATATCAGCTCCCAACTTGGTATCTATGCTGATGACATCCATTTACTCCTGCTTCAATAGACTGATCAGTCTAACAAGCTCAAAATGGCAGCCAATGTCCAAAACAACCTCAAGACCGTTGTTATCTGAGGCAAAAGATGGCTTATCAATTTTAATGCCTCCAAAATTAAACTTCTCTCCATTAATCATCTAAGAGACTCCTCTTTGCCTACCATCAGCATGATTGATTGTAACCTCCAGGAAAGTGACTTGTGCCTTCTTGGGCTAACATTCTCAGCTGACATGAAGTTGAAAGACTATACTGAATCCATTGCCAAGTCAGCTGCTAAGAGTTGATTCACCATGTTGTGTGAGACAATTTTTCTCACTTACATATTTATAAGTCTACCATTCTTCCAGGCTTAGAATATTGATGCCACATATGGTCCGGTGCCCCTGCTATTTACCATGAACTTCTTGATAAAATCCAAAGAAGAATCAGCAATATTATTGGCTCTTATCTGGTGGCTTGGCCTCAATCACTTTCCCATTGCCGTAAGGTTTCCTCTCTGTGCCTTTTCAATAAATACTTTCATGGTAATTGTTTGAATGAGCTCCTTGCTATGGTACCTTTGTGGTGAGATTTTGTTTTTTACAGACCAATTACAACTGGTGGTTGATGCCAGGTATGTTTCTGCCATTCTCCGTGAACTGTTTTTTGAGTGTTACTACACTTTTCTTTTTCAGTTTTTCACCCCACCCCCAGTTTTTATGTTATTTCTTGGCACCTATTATTTTATTATTAGGTTTTTGATTTTCTCTTATT